CTCCGCGTGGGGTCACATCCTGAGAAGTGCCCCATGCACTTGTTACCAGTGCAGCCACCCCCACGTGAGGCCAGGGTTGAGGTGTCCCCCGACCCCGGCCAGGGGTGCAGCCTACCAGGGCCCCCTCGTGTGCGGCCTGTTGTAGGGTCCCAGGTGGGCGTTTGGGGGTTTGCCCCTTGGGACTGCTGCTAGGAGCACTGCCAGGCTGTGTGTGTGCTGGGGACCCAGGACAGGGACACACGGTCTGATGTCACCCAGCTGTGTCTCACCCCCCCCCCCCCCGCCCGTCCCAACATCCGGTGTTTAAGTGTTCATCCTAGCCAGCCAGGCCTCAGAGCCTGCGACGCTTCCAACAGGAGCAAGATCAGAGATCCTCCCCGCCTTCCTCAGTGGGGGGAGTCTCTTGTACACTGCCCTCGGGAAGCCGTTTGCCCCTCATTGTAAATAGACCCTCCACGTCCCCCCAGCACACACAGGCACCCCCAGACCAGCTTCATGCCCAGATGCTTTGGAGCCTGTTGGGCTTCTGGGTCGGGGACGCCGCAAGCACTTCTCTGGGTTCTAAATGATCCACAGACACACCAGGGTGGGCAGCTCAGTCACATGATGCACATGCAGGGCCTGGGTTAGTCCCTGGCACCACACACACATGAACACACACATGCACACACAGTCACACACACTCACATACACATGCTCACATACACACATTCACACACACAGTCACATACACACTTCTCACTCATATACACTCACACAATCACACACTTCACATTCGCACACTCAGTCACACACACACATCTCACACTCACATAGTCACACACATACTTCACGCTCACACACTCACATACAGTCACATACACTTCACACACACACATGCACTCATACAATCATACACGCACTTCACTTTCACACACTCAGTCACACACACATCTCACACTAACAGTCACACACTTCACACACACAGTCACACACTCACGCTCTTTCTCTCTCTGTAACTGGAGTCCCACCCCAAGCAGAGCTCTGGAGGTCCAAGGGCTACTTCATCGATTCTCAGCCTTTCAGTGTGGGGGCTGATCGCCACTTGGCCCTGCCCAGCTGGGGACCACCAAGGCCACCAGGCGATGCTCTGGGGCCTCAGGACCACACCCAGCGGTGCTCAGGAGGCCGTGTGGTTTGGGGGCCCAACCTGGGTCTGGGACAGGCCTGGAGCACCTTCCCCTGGGCCATCCCCCGCGCCCGCCCCAGCCCTGCACTATCTCCCTGGGCGCACGCAGCACTTTCCAGGCTCTGAAGTTGCCTGTCTTGAGGATGCAGCTGGGTAATTCATAACTGAGCAAGCTGGTTCTTCGTTGGTTTGTTGTTATTCCTGGTTTGGTACTCATGAGTGGTCCCTGGCGGTGCTCAGGGAACCATGTGTGGTACCAGAAGACGAAGATGGTGCGCACACGGCGAATCTCCTACCCACTGTACTAGCTCTCTGGCTCCTGCTGAAATGACTCTGGTGCCATTTTAAACCTAGCCAGTCTAGAATATTGGTTGATCATATTGTTGGTGTAGAACGGAGACGGTGGCGTGTTAGAGACGGAGCACGTGCTTTGCACGCAGAGGAGCCGGCATGGCTTGTGCCCCTGAGCGCCGCAGGGCAGGACCCCCGGCAGCAGGCGTGACCCCGCCCTCTGCACTGCCAGGTTGGCCCCAGAGAACAGGAACCGGAGACACGGGGGCCGGGGTGTGGCTCGGTGCTGCTCAGGACCGTGTGAGGGCCTGGCTTGGTCCCTGATTTAACAAATGGCTGTTGACACGGAGTTGTTGGCAGTGGGTGTGTTCTCGCACATTCCAGCCCTGGCATGAGCACCAGCGCTGAGGGCGCAGCATTGCTGCGGCCAGTGGCTACCCAGTATGATGAGGCACCAGGCTCCCTCCCCAAGGCCCTGCGAGGAGGGGGTGCCTTTCCTTCAGGTGGGGAAATCTAAAACCAAGAAAACAAGGTGGACGCTTCAGGCAGGAGTCTGCCCCGTCCCCATGGCAACTGTGACCTCACGGCGGGCGCCGGAACAGGAGCTGGAACAGCAGCACCGGGCGGGGCCTCAGAGGGGCCTGGCTTGGTCCATGGCTGTGTGCGGTGGACAGATTGGGGGGTTCAGGGCACCTAGAGCTGAGGGGCAGGTGTAGGGGCTGGGCTGAGCTCTCGGTCCCCGCGGCTTGGGGACCAGAGGTTGGAGTCTGTCTCCCTAACCCGGCCTTCAGCGGGACAGGGCAGGGGGGCCGGGGGCAGGCTCATGTGTGCATGCATGTGTGGGCCTGTTTGCGTGTGTATGCATGTATGAACCTGCGTATGCATGTGTGGGCCTGAGTACACATGCAGTGCATACGTGTTGCGTGTGTGCATGTGAACACATGTGCACATGTGATTTGAAGGCGGAAACCCTAGTCGGAAACCCTTTAGCAGGAAACTGTTCATTGCATTGTCCAGTTTGCAAACCCCTTACCCCCTTTTTAAACAATAATTTCTCATCTAATTAAAGAGCCGTGACTTACAAGGTTGATAACTGAGTTTTAAGCACAGAATGTTTCAACGCCAATCCCACCACCAGTGTAAACTTCCCTGCACTGTATTCCCACGCTCTGTCCTTCCCCCTAAGCTCTGGGGTCAGTGGTGGTCTAGGAATCCCCCCTTTACCTTTCGTCATCCATATCCTGCAGACCACAGCTACGTCACATCGTCCCGTATTTGTCTTTCTTCTTCTGGCTGACTTTAATCCACAAACCCCTTTTATGTCTGCGTGACCTTGGGCCAGCCTCAATGTTGCCATCTCTAGAATGGGGGTAAAACCAGCCTCGACTGGTTGGGTCCTCAAGCGGGCAGTGGGGCAGAGCCCGGGACGCAGCTGGCTTGAGGACTGTTGTGAATGAGTGGCCAGTGGCACAATAAAGCCAAGTGAAGCTTTATGAATCTTGGTAGCTGTTCACTGTGACCCCCCCCCCACCGGGCCTGGATCTGTGTGACGAACAGGGACCCCCAGGCACCTCCTGTAACCGGGGTCAGGAGGGTTCAACTGACTTTCTGTTTTCAAGGAGGGGCCCTGCACGGCTGCTGTCTCGGAGCCTGCCTTTGGCTGTCAGCTCTGGTCGAGATTTTCAGGGCGTGACCCTGATTTTTCTCCATCAGTGCCGGCCAGGGATGGGGCTGGGGCCTCCGTCCGCCATCCCTGCGCCACTGAGCCTCGTTGCATTTTCAATTTGCACCTTGGCCTTGGGAGCTGCCTGCTATCACTCAGAGGGGAGGAGTCCACGGAACAAAACCCAGTCAGGGCCTCTGAGGGCCCCGGGGACCAGAGCACGGGCTTCCCCTGTGGGAGCTTCACCCGAGCATGCGAAAACCCCCTCACCTGTTGCACCAGACAAAATGAGTCCGACCCTGGGCTCCATTTTCACTCTCAGTGGCCCTCAGGAAGTTCTCTGGCCCCCGCCTGCTCTCTGCAAAAGGGGAAATGGCTCCCTCAAGGCTTGAGTACCGTGTGTGTGGGGGGGGGGGGCGCAGTGCTCAGCCGTGTTCTGCCAGCCCCTGTGGTGCTCAGGAATTAATCCTGGCTCTCTGCTCCTGAGGGGGCTTGGGGACCCTATGGGGAGCAAACCTGGTGGGCCACAGAGCGCCTCCCCCTCTCTGCCACCCCTCGGGCCCAGGCTCCTGACCACCCCCCCACCTCCACGTGCTTCAGACACTCACAACGTGGGGACTGCGGGCGTCTCCAGGCTCAGCTCTGAGAACTCATGATCATAAGTTTAGGGTTTCTTTCCTGTCCACCTGTTGTACATACATAGTTCATGTGTATGCATTTCCCCAACATGGGGTTTTGCTGTTTTGTAGCAAGGTGGTGGTATTTTTTGTGTCATGGGGGGTCATGCGTGCTGATTCTTGGGGGCCATATGAGACTCAGGCTGAGCCCAGGGCCTGGAGGCTGGGGCGATGGACAGTGGGGAAGGCACTTACGCAGTCACCCCGGGTTCCATGCCTGGCGTAGATGGTCTCCGAACTGCCCCCCTCCCTGTGAGGAATGATCCCCCAGGAATGATCCCCAAGCACAGAGGCCGGGACGTCAGCCCTGAGCACTGCCCGGGGTGGCCGCAAAGCAAGCAAAAGATGGACCCGAGGCTTGCCCCAGCTTGACGCGTGCTCTGCTCCTTGACCAACACTCAGGAGGGAAGGAGAAAGGGGGCAGGAGACGATGAGGAGAGTAGGGGAGAGGGCCTGGCCCTGCCTCGCCACGGGTCTGGAAAGTTCCCTCTGATCCGTGTGACGTCCCCCAGAACCGCCGCCCCCCGTGCTGGTGCCTGAGTCCTGGCTGTGTGAGCATGGGATCTTCAGTGATGAGCCATGAAGTGGCCTAGCTCAGAGGCTGGAGTGAGTGAGGAGGTCCATGGAGCGGTTTCAGAGAGTTCCCTGCACTGGGGTGGACAGACCTCATTCTCTCTCTTCCTTCCTTCCTTCCTTCCTTCCTTCCTTCCTTCCTTCCTTCCTTCTGTCCTTCCTTTTTTTCTTTCCTTTCTTTCCTTTTTTGGCTTTTTGGGTTATACCTGGCGATGCTCAGGGGTTGCTCCTGGTTCATGCACTCAGGAATTGCTCCTGGTGGTGCTTGGGGGACCCTATGGGATGCCGGGAATCAAATCTGGGTCGGCTGCGTGCAAGGCAAATGCCCTCCCCGCTGTGCTATCACTCCAGCCCTGACAAAGCCCCTTTCTCGGGGAGGCAGAGCCCTCCCCACCCCCGTCTCTGGAACTGGGAGAGGGAGTGTGTGTGTGTGTGTGTGTGTTGGGGTGCCAGGGGTGGGAATTGCTGTTAGGAACGGGCTATGGGAGGGAGACCCACGCTAGGCAGCAGAATTGGGGAGAGCCGAGAGTGGGAGCTGGAGGGAGGAGGCAGGAGGGGGCTCTGGCACCCCGGCCCGGAGCAGCAGGAGTAACTTCCTGATCCCTCTTTTCTTCCTCCTCTTCCTCAGTCTCCTCCGACCAGATTGAGCAGCTCCACCGGCGGTTCAAGCAGCTGAGTGGAGACCAGCCGACCATCCGGTACGATCTGTGTCTGAGGCGGGTCCCCAGCCCTGCCGCCCTCGTCCCCAGGCGCCTGGCCCGGCAGCCGGCCTCGCTTCCTCTCCTTTGGTGCTCTGAGGGGTCAGGGAAGGGTCGCAGAAGGGGGTGCAGGGCTCTCAAACAGCCTCTCTGGACCCCCTCCCCGACTGCCTCCAGTGGAATTGTGCTCCAGACGGGGGTCAGGGGGCTGCTAGATGCCGGCTGTGTGGCAGTGTGGAGCACCCAGAGGTGACTTTGTGGGGTGCCCTGGCTTCCTCTCCTTCGAGGGGGTCTGCCCCGGGGGGCTCCGACTCCGCCGGACACAGTCTTCCCGCGACTGTTTCTGAGGAGCCATGTCCCGCGGTCCTCCTCCTCCCATGGGGTCTGTGTGGTTCAGAACCGGGCGGGCAGAGGGTCATGTCGGGGGTCGGTGAGCAAGCTTGGCATGGGCGAGCAAATCTACCCCAAGCCGCGCCCCTCCCAGACACCGTGTCCTAAAGGAGGCGCCCAGGGTCTCCCCGAGACGGGCTGGGGCTTTCGACCGCCCCAAGAGGCTCCTTCCTAGGAAACGGTTTTACGTTTCACTCAAGTGACACGGAAACTTCTGTGGAAAGTGGCCTGTAAATGAACCGCGCATCTTGTGGGTCCAGACGGAGGCTCAGGAGGCTAGAGTTGCATCCGTTTCCAGAGCTCAGAGGCCGCAGGTTCCCGGGCTCCTACCCCCTCTGCAATCAAAGCCATGGCCTTCACGGCAGAATCCGAGGCGACCGGGGGACGGACCCCTCTAATCCCATCCCTCAGCCCCGGGAAGGAAGAACAGGGCAGAGCCCAGCAAGAAGCCACCTGGCTTCTCATTGGCCCTGGGGGGTCACATGTTCGAGTCCCTACTGAATGCTACTGTCCTGGTGGGAATACGAAAATTTTCCGTTCCAGGGCTGTGGGAGTGTGGGGGTGCCAGGGGGTTCCCGGGTGCAGGAGCACCTCAGCCCGAGCACCCAGACGGGGACCTGGCCCGGCCCGTCTCTGCCCCCCCATCTCACTGGCTGTGTGTGACTGCACCCCTCATTGCTCCGTATCTCTTAGAGCTGAGGCAGGGAGACCCAGGCCGGGCCGGGCGCCAGCTCTCGGGTCTGAGCAGTTAGAGACGGCTGGTGACGCCGGGACACTGACACATTGAGTGGGGTCACGGGTTTGCAGACATGGGCTGACCCCCTTCCTGCTGCTGATGGCTGGGGGCCCCCAGGGGTGGGGGAGCTTGGGAGGGTGAGTGGGGGCAGCTGCGGTTTCTCCGAGCACCCAGGGTCCTGACGGGGTTGCCCTCAGCCCCCTTGGCATGTCTCTCAGCCCGTGACTCGCCCTTTCCACAGCCGCCCTGCCTCGGGCTCTGGGGAATGGAGAGGCCCCAGGGGCAGCCCCTAACCCAACACCCCAGGGCACCCCGGCCCCTCAGGGCCATGCCTGTGGCCATTAGCAGGGACAGGCTCTGAGAGTCTACCCAACCCGCCCCTCCTCCCCCCCCCCCCCCCCGCATGGCCCTGGTCCGTGATGACCCCTCCAGCCTCTGTTCCTGGCAGGAATCAGCCCATCCCTCCCCCAGCCCTGGGCTCCATCCTGAACGTGCGTGCGGCTTAGCAGGTGTGAGGGAGAAGTTGGTGCGTGGCGACAGGCTGTCAGGGCAGGCGCATTCTTGGGGACACGGGGAGAGCAGAGGAGGGAGGAGCGCGTGGATGTGGCCCCTCGGAGCGCCTGTTGCTAGCAGCCCTCAGTTCCCGGGGAGACCCTGGGACTCGCGATCCCGGTGAGCAGCAGCTGCCCCTAACCAAGTCCGGCGTCCTTCCAGCACCTTCTACGTGGGCCAGCTGGAGGTCGCGTCCAGGGTCTCACAGGCCAGGCAGGGCAGGACTCGTGCTCGGAGGGACCCCCCCTGGAAGGTCTCCTCGTTCCACGGGAGGGAAAGTAAAGCTCAGTGAGGGGATGCAGCGGGCATCGGAGTGACCACGTCCTGCCCTGCCCCTGCTCTGCTCCCTCCCAAGCTGCCGGGAAGGGCCCGCGGGAAGGACCCCTGCAGATGGGCTGGCCCAGGCGAAAGTGGACCCCGAGCCCCGCCAGGAGTGCTCTGAGCACAGAGCCAGGAGGACGCCTGGAGCACTGCTGGGTGTGGCCCCCAAAACAATAACAATAAAGAAGTTTCAGGGCTGGAGCGATAGCACAGCGGGGAGGGCGTTTGCCTTGTACGTGGCTGACCTGGGTTTGATTCCCAGTACCCCATAGGGTCCCCTGAGCACCGCCAGGAGTAATTCCTGCGTGCAGAGCCAGGAGGAACCCCTGTGCATGCTGGGTGTGACCCAAAAAGCAGAAAAAAGAAAAAACCCAGAAGTTTCAGTGAGGCCACCCAGCCAGTATCCGCTCAGAGCCTTCTAGAACTCCCTCCCCCAAAGCAGGTTCCCAGTGTGTCCTTCGCAGAGGCAGGTGGGGGGGCGGATGGGTGCCCTGTGGATCGGAGGGTGCTGGTGACATTCTGGCCTTGATGCCAGGAACGCCCCACCCCAGGGGATGAGCGCAGGTGGTCCCGGGACCCAGTGCCCCTGGGGGTGCAGGCCCCTCCCCCATCTCTGTCCCTGTCACCTTGGCCACAAAGCCTCCCCTGACCCGTGCCCTACAGTGCAGGTGGCCCCCGGGCTGCCCTGGGTCCCACGTCCCCCAGTCCACCCCACCGTCCCCTGTCAGCCCTGTCCCCCCACAAACCTGCAGAGGTGGGGTGTGGGCTGGCATTCCTCAGAGCAGCTGATTGAAACTGGGACCCTCTCCCGCCAGCCCCCCGCAGAAGCCTGAAGTCAGGGTGCAGGGAGGCAGCGGGGGAGGGTCCTCACTGTGGGGGTTGCTTATATCCTCGCCCCAAGGCCCTGGGGAGCCCCCCACCTTGGGCTTCTTTACCTACTGATCCTCCCCCCAGGACTCTCCTCCCTCCAGCCGGGGGTGGGACTGGACTTGGTCACGCCACCTCTCCAGGCCTCCTCTCGCCTGTGAAGTGGGGGATCCTGGCATCACCCGCAGGGGCGTGGGGCGCTGATGTGTCGTGTCCTGCCCTGAGCAGGGGGACCAGAAGAGCTCTCGGGGCAGGGAGGGGGTTGTCCCAAGGTCCTGCCCCCTTCCCACACCTGTCCCTGTCCTGCTCCAGCTCAGGAGTGGTGGCCTGTCCCTGTCCCCAGGCCTGGCAGAGGTACCTCCCCCCCAGCCGGTCTGACCAGCCCAGTGAGCCCCTGGGGCGGGGCCAGGGGTCAGTGGCAGCAGCGGAGGCGCTGGGTGAAACCAAAATTTATGGGGAAAATTTATGGGGCTTCTAGCATCCCCACCTCTGCCCCCAGCCCAGCCCTCCGTAGAGCAAGCTGACAGTGCAAGTCAGGAACAGCCCCCGTGGGCCCCCGAGCCAGTCCTCGGCGTCCTTCCCAGGTGCTTCTTCGTCTCTGCCTCGGTTTCCCCTCCTTGAATGGGGGGCAGTGCCTGCTGACAGGGGAGGGACATCAGGCTCTTAGCACAGAGAAGGTTGATGCTGCCCCCAACACCCGTGGGCTGGGTGGGGGACACAGGGTGCCCCTGAGCACCGGGCTGGAAGCCCTGTTGGTGGCCCCCAAGCAAACAAGCGAAAATCAGGGAACACTCTTGGTGTCGGGGGGTGGGGATGCAGATGAGTCTCATTCGTGGGCTCACCTCATGCCCCCCATCTCACAGGTGGCTCTGGGGCCCCAGCTGGCTCCCAGCCCTGACAGTGGCACACCCAGGCATGGGGGGCATCAGTCCCAGGCTGCTGTGCCAAGGCAGGTCCCCTCTCACGCCCTGTCCCCGTGTGGCTTTTTCCCCCCTTTACTTTTTGGGTCACACCCGGCAATGCTCAGGGGTTATTCCTGGCTCTGGCAAGACTCCTGGCGGTGCTCGGGGGACCCTATGGGATGCTGGGGATCGAACCCGGGTCATCCGCATGCAAGGCAAACGCCCTCCCTGCTGTGCTATCGCTCCGGCCCTTCGTGGCTTTTATGACCAAGAAGACCCCCCCCCCACCTCCACTGTGCCCAGCCGGCCACTGTGCACATGCCCCCACCCCTCCCCCCGGGAGTCCAGAACGTGGCATTCCTTGGCTGCTACTCCAGGGCCCTGGGTCCTGAGCCTCGCCATCTGTCAGGGTTGGGCAGCCCCAGCACCCGCCATTGTTTCTAGAACTTTCCTGTTCTACTGGCACCTGCCCCAGGATTGGTTCTAGCTTTGAGTTCCAATTCTGTGGACTCTTCCCACCTGGGATAATATTTTGCCTTAACTGGGGGTAGGGGGCGATGGGGGGGACACATGGTGCTTCTCGGGAGCCACTTCCGGCAGGGCTCTCAGGGCGAGCCAGAAGGCCGGGCACCGCGGGAGGCCCGGGTCCAGCTGAGGGCCAAGGACCTTCCCCTGCCACCCCCGCGTGTTCCCCGGCATCTCCGTGGGTCCTGCCCAGGGTCACTGCCCGGGACAGTCCGGGGAGCAGAAGAGAAGCGGGAGCGGGAAGCAGGTTGTGAGAACAAAGGCCGGCCTGGTGCGGGCAGGACAGCGCGCCCCCCGCCCCCAGAGCCACTGTGCCCCGTGATGGGTTCGGAATTCACCGTCTCCTGCGCTGTTCCCTTCCCCAGCGCGGCTGGAGTTCGGTTCACAGGCGCCAAGTCTTACCCTTGGAAAGGTCCCAGCAGGAATTTTTTGTCCCGGTAGTGCCCCGTGCTCAGTCTGCCCCCCCAAAGCCCAGACCCCCCGTGCCCTCCTTTTGCCCGGCCCCTTGCCCCCTCTCGCTGGCTGCTGCCTCTGTCGCTGTGGCCGGGAGTGTGCTCAGGGTCTGCCCGGGGGGCTCAGAGTCTGTGTGTGCAGGCGGACGGTGGCGGCTCTGGCCTGGGGGCACGGGGAGCCTCTCTTACTGGGCACACTCACCCTGACCCCCTGGGGGAAACCCAGGAACTGGACCATCAGGTCACATGCTCCCCTCTGGGAACTTCCAGGCCTACTGTCCCACCATCCTGCCTGGGAGGGCTGGCACAGGCAGGGGGCACCGCTGACCCCTGCGAAGAGGGTGCACATTTTGTGGCTGCGTTTTCGGGTGTCCACAGTCTTTATATGGGCACCTTCATGCCTCTCGGAGGGCAGGGGAGGGGAGCTGGCCACTGGGTATTTGCTGCCCCGCCCCCCAGCCTCAGGGAGCACAGGCTGGGAGACCTCTGTCCCCGATGATGACCGCTGACCGCTGCCTTCTCGCTCTCCCCTTCCTTCCCGGCGCTTGGAACGGACTAAGCAAGGAAAACTTCAACAGCATCCCCGACCTGGAGCTCAACCCCATCCGCACCAAGATCGTCCGCGCCTTCTTCGACAACAGGTGGGCGCTTCTCCGGGACAGTCCTCTGGCCAGGCAGTCTGCGCAGCATCCGGGCTGGGTTGCTGGGGCGCCTCACCACCCCCCCCCCCCGCCCCGACTTTCCCCAGAGGCAGCATGTGACCCATCAGTCCGGCAGCTGCTCGGGGCTGGAAATGGTGCAGGGGTGGAGGCACTTGCCTTGCGCTGGCCGACACGCCCATCCCACATCTCACCCCTGACGTCAGGCGTCACTCCTGAGCACAGAGTCCAGCATTATCCCTGACCACTGCGGGCTTTGACCCCCACCCCCCCAATACCCCTCAGGGGAGTGGGGGGTGGGGCAGGGGCTGGCTGCAGTTCGAGAGCTCCAGACCAGCTCAGGCCCAAGCAGGGGGTGGGGCTGATTTTGAGCTTATTTCTCTTTATTTCCTGGCCTTCCAGAGAGGGAAACTGAGGCACAGGGGACGGCCTTGGCAGACCTTTCAGCACAGAGGTCCAGTCTGGGCTGAGGCCCCCATCTGTTCAGCATGGGAGTAGACCCCCCTCCCCGGGAGCAGATGGGATGTCTCTCGGCTGCAGGGCAAGGGTGGACACACAACAGTGGACACACACCAGGGCCGGCGGCCTGCCCAGTGACCCAGTCGGACCCGGGCTCTGCAGCAGAGACAGGCAGGCATGAGAGGGACCCTAGAGCCTCAGTGCCCAGTTCTGGTTCTGCTGGGACATGGTGCCCCCCACCTGCTCCCAGGGCCGTGGTGGGTAGGGCTGCCCGGAGGGGCAGAAGCTCTGCGCAGGGTGACTGAGGCCCCGTACTGGGAGTGAAGGTGGAGAACAGGTTGGGCTGGCTCCAGGCCAGGAAAACTGTCCTGGTGTTTCTGGTTCTATATTGTGTTCTGGGGGCCATATGGCTGCCCTGGGGGGAGCCTTGTGCTGGTGCGGTTGGAAGCTGGGCTCCCAACACAAACTCCCTGAGCTACTCCTCCCCACCCCTCTCAATGTCTAGGGACCCCCGTATTGGCCGCTCTGAGGACACTGTGGAGGCAGGGACTGGTGAGCTAGACACAGGCCTGCCTTCCCGGGGGCCGACCACACTGTTCCAGCTAATCTTAATCTCTCCTGTGGCCGCTGTAGCCACCAGCCGGATGTGTGAGGCAGCACCCGAGGGAGGCTGATAAGCCCAGGGCTATTTTTAGGACTGTTTGGACCCGACAGCCTCCGGGACCCCAGGGTGGCTCAGCTATGCCATGGAAAGGGTTTCAAAGGGGGTGGGACTAGACCAGTGCACTCACCATTTGCCCTGTCCCAGCCTGGGGTTCCCCATGTGTGGGGAATGAGGAGGGGAGAGAGGAGGAGAGAGAGGAAAAAGAGGGAGAGGAGGAAGGGAGGGGGGGGAGAGAGACAGGGAGGGAAGAGAGAGAGAGAGGGATTTGGAGCGAGATACAGAGAGAGGAGGAAGGGAGAGAGAGGAGAGGGGAGGGAGAGAGAGTGATGAGTGAGCAAGTGAGAGAGTGGAGAGAGAGGAGGAAGGGAGAGGGAGAGGAAGGGAGAGGGGAGAGAGAGGGAGGGCGGGGAGAGAGAGCAAGAGAGCGAGAGCTGGATCCAGGCTGTGGGGGTTGCTCCCCTGCCCTGACCAGAGTGGGGGTTGGTGCTTTCCCGGGTACTTTCCAGCCAGGCGGGGCACCCTCAGCCTGTCAGCCGCCATCCAGCTGCAGAGGGTTCGAGACTGGGTGTTTCGCGGCCATCGCTCCCCACAGCCCTCTCAGCCGGCAAGGAGGTGCCACTTCACACACACGTGTGGTGCCCTCCCTCCTCACCCATGTGGCACCCAGCATACCGGGCATTTCGCCAGGTCTGTGTGCTTTGCCCTTTGACTCCACGTGGGGCATGGCCATTCCTTTGGAGCTTCCAGAAGGGCACGGCCCTAGAAGTTTCCTGGGTCCGAGAGGGACCTGGGGCCCATGCTCCCTGAGACAGCCGGGGAGTCGGTGTCTTAGTTTTGGGGCACTGTCCCATCTGTCACAAAGGCTCAGTGCTGCCAGGAGCACGTTCCCAGGCCAGATGGGGATAAGTGGACGTGCTGGATGTCTGTGAGCTGTAACTGGGGTTCTGGGGTCTCTCAGTGACACTTGGGGCCTGGGGGTCACTCCCAGCAATACTTGGCCAACTAAGGCATGTGGTTCCCCGCTGGGGGTCTGAGGGTGTGGAACAGCTGGGGTAATGCGATTTTGGGGTCGGGGCCACGTGGGCCACAGCTGGCAGTGCTGGAGGGTTGGAGAGTGCCGGGGATCAGACAGGTCCTGGCGTGCAAAGCGCGTGCCCCTAACCCCTGATGTTGGGGTTGCTTATCTGCCCGCCATTGCTGTGCTGTGATAGTCTGGGGTCTCACACTTGCTTGTGGTGCAGTGTGGACCCCAAACAACCCACCTGTTGTGTGGGGTGACCCCAGGGTTCCACCTAGTATGTCAGGAGCTATCCCGGGCTCCTGAAATCTGCGTTTCGTCTCATAAAGTTATTTTTCCCAGTTTCCCTCCCACTTTAACAGGGTACACCAGGCAGTGCTGGGGCTTATGCAGTGCAGACTGAATCCAGGGCCTCACACCTGCTAGGAACACCGTTGTGCACCCTTTAGGGCACGTCCGCGGCCCTCAGTTCGTTTCCGGCACCCAGAAGCATGAGAATTAAAAACCTCCTCCACCTAGTTCACAGGCCACCGCCACCAGGTCCTGGCCCAGCCGCGCCCCCAAGGCCCTGTGCGCCGGCTCTCCCTTCACCTCCAGCCCCCGCCCCTCGCCCCCAGGAACCTGCGCAGGGGGCCCACCGGCCTGGCCGACGAGATCAACTTCGAGGACTTTCTGACCATCATGTCCTACTTCCGGCCCATCGACACCAGCATGGACGAGGAGCAGGTGGAGCTGTGCCGGAAGGAGAAGCTGAGATGTGCGTGGTGCCCACCTCCCCCAGCCCGCCCCTGGCCCCTGCACCGTGGCTGACCCAGCCCCCCTCTCGCCCCCAGTTCTGTTCCACATGTACGACTCGGACAGCGACGGGCGCATCACCCTGGAAGAGTACCGGAATGTAAATACGGCCTCGCCCTTACCACGCCCCTTCCCGGCCAAGTTTGGGCCAGGACCGAATGGGCCACGCCCTCCCCTGCCCAAGTGTGGGCGCTGACGGATAGGCCCCGCCCCGCCACGCCCCTTGCCCAAGAGTGGGCTGTCAATGGTAGAGGCCGTCTGAGCCACGCCCCTTGTGGGCCACGCCCCAGCAACCCGCCGGGTGCTACCATTGGCTTGGACCTCGCTCCGATCTCGTGTGGGATGTATGGGCCCCGCCTGTTCCCCGCCCCTTCCAAAGTGCGCCCCGCCCCAATCACCCTGTGCGGACAGCCATTGGTTCAGACCACGTCCCTCCCGCCCTCTTGTGGGCGGTCACCGGCATGGGCCCCGCCCCCTCCAAATATGGGCCCCGCCCCATCACCCTGTGCGGACAGCCATTGGTTCGGACCACGCCCCTCCCGCCCCCTGCGGACTGCCATTGGTAGGATCCCGCCCCTGCCACGCCCCCTCCGTGTATGGGGCCACGTGCTCCCAGCCCTGCGGGCTGTCCCCAGCGTGGGCCCTGCCCACCGGCGTGTGCGTCCTCCAGGTGGTGGAGGAGCTGCTGTCCGGGAACCCGCACATCGAGAAGGAGTCGGCGCGCTCCATAGCGGACGGTGCCATGATGGAGGCCGCCAGCGTCTGCGTGGGCCAGATGGTGAGCCCCCTCCAGGAGCGGGCACCCCAGACCCCACGCGTCCACTCCTGCCGGCCCTGTGACCGACGGTCGGACACCCGCTACCGCCCCCAGAGCCAGGCTGGGCGCGCAGGCGGGCTAGGGGGGCCTGGCCAGGTGTAGCTCCTGAGGCCTTAGTTCATGCGTCTGCTGGGGGCTGGGAAGGGCTGACCCGGGGGCCGGGCAGACGGGAGACGGGCGGCTCAGCACAGGCGCTGCAGGCCCAGGCAGGCAGGAGACCCCGCTGACCCCTCGACCGGGCAGCCGCGGGGAACCCCAGGCCGAGACTGGCACCGCTCCTGGGCTGTTTGTAGGGACTGTCCTGCGTCCTGGGGGGACTGGGGCTTCGGCAGACCCTGACCAGGCCCCAGGGGCGGGTGCTGTGGTCACCTGGCTGGCCTGTGTCCTCTGCCCGCTCAGACCCCTGTGGAGCGGGGACTCCTGGCTTTGGCGGCACCACCCCACTCAGCAAATGAGGGGACAGCAAGCCCCTGGGCAGTGTGCCAGTCCCCGCTTGATTGGATCACCATGTCCTGCTCCCCATGGCCCTCCAGCTCCCCAGACGGCAGTTTCCCTGAATTTGCAAGAGTGGGTGGTTGGCAGCGGGCGCTGCAGATGGGCACAGAACCAGCATGGCCTGCAGGGCTGTCCAGCACACCCGTGACTGCAGGGGCGGGGGGGGAAAGGGGGTGTGCCCGCTACCACCAGGCCTCTCGGCATGCTCACTGCCCACCACAGCCCACGACCGTCTCCCCACTTCAGTGACCCCCAAGGTCGGACCTAGAGGGCCTCATGCTTTCTCCAGAGAGGTGCTTGCAGCTCCCCAGGAGCAGGGGATGGAGGTCAGCAGCCCCTTCCATCTTGCAGAGAACCACAGGACCAGGGCGGTTCTTCCACATGGGGATGGGGAAACTCCTTTTTTTTTGTCTTTTTGGGTCACACCCAGCGATGCACAGGGGTTCTTCCTCCTGGTTCTGCACTCAGGAACCACTCCTGAGTGCTCAGGGGACCCTATGGGATGCCGGGGATCGAACCCGGTCAGCCACATGTAAGGCAAACACCCTACCTGCTGTGCTGTTGTTCCAGCCCCCTATAGCATAAGGGCAAATGCCCAAGAAGCTGCAGCCATGCACCCAGGGAGGGCATGGAGGTGAGAAGGAACTGCAGTGGGCACGGGGGGACCCTGCCGGCCCAGCACAACTTGGGGCTGCTGTCTGCTCCCTGGTCAGAGGGGCTCTGAGACCTGTGTCCCCTCCTGGCCGGTCTCCCCTCAATTCAGACTGCTGCCCCCCACCCGCAAGGGGCACGAGGGCGAGGCAGTGAGTGGACAGAGTGGCAGAGGGACGGCCCGGCAGGGCGGCCCCCGGTGCTATCAGTGACTCACGGCCAGTGCTGGCTGTTCCCTGGCCCTTTCCCCACTGGGCTGGGGGCGTGATCTGCTGGCGTGACAGGACAGCACCCCGCAATGGAGTGAGATGACGGGTAGCGCCGTGGCTGGGAAGGGGGCAGAGGTGACTGGGAGGAGGGGGAGGAGGGCCGGCCCCTTCCTCTCCCATTGTCCCTGGCCGCCTGGTGAGGCCAGCGCAGTGGACTTTGGGGTTCAGGGTAAACCGCCTGGAGGTGGAGCTAAAGCCAGACCAAGCCCTAATTTGCTGCGGAGACTTGAGTCTCTAAGAAATTGTGTTTCGGGGGGCTGGAGCCATAGCGCTGCAGGAAGGGCATTTGCCTTGCACGCGGCTGACCCAGGTTCAATTCCCAGCATCCCATATGGTCCCCCGAGCACCGCCAGGAGTGATTCCTGGGTGCAGAGCCAGGAGGAACCCAAATATCACTGGTGTGACCCAAAAAGCAAAAAATAAAAATTAAAAAAAAATCCTGTTTCGGAGCTGGACATTTGCCATGCACATGGGTTTTATCCCTGGCACCCCATGTGGTCCCCAAGCACCACCAGGAGGAGTTCCTGAGCACAGAGCCAAGAGTAACCCCCTGAGCATTGCTGGCTGTGGCCCCCATTCATGCAGGCTGCTGGGGAAATGCCCGCCAAGTCTCTGGCCGCAGGTGATGGAACCATTTCCTGGTCATCTGAGCGTCAGATGACCTGACGTGCGGGGGTGTCTGGGGGGAACCCCTCACCTGCCGTGTTCTCTGTCCCCAGGAGCCTGACCAGGTCTACGAGGGGATCACCTTCGACGACTTTCTGAAGGTGGGTGTGGGGGAAGCAGGGGCACATGGAGGTCACCCCAGGAGACGGCAGGCTGGCGGGCAGGGCTGGGCACCTCGGGGCGTGTGGCGGGCTCTGCCCTTCACCCCCTGGCCTGGGACAGGTGGCTGCTCTGACAGGGCTGTCACCTCCCACGGAGCAGAGGGTCAGGTGGAGTGTGCCCGCTGCTGGGCTGGGAGCGGGTGGGGGTCTCTGCTTCCCCCTCCCCACCCCAGGCCAAGCCTTCCTGCCCTCCCCCCACCCTCCGCTAAGTGCAGTCCAGGGGGCTCATTGTGTGTGTGGGGGGGGAGGTGTCTGGGGGGCCTCTGCTCAGAGATGCGCGTGGGCACGGTGTGTCCATCCCGGGGGTAGAAATGGTCTCAGTGATGCTCAAACTGATGGCAAAGGTTCAGGCACCCTGGGAAGCACCTGGGTGTTTTCCAGGTGGCCTGGGCGTTTTCTCGGCGCTTCGATGGGGCAGCTCTGGCAGGCGGAGGCGGGGGTCCAGACCCTCAGACTCTGCAGCGGGTGCCCCCCTGCCCAGTTCCATCTCAGGGGGTGCAGTTGGGGGGAGGTGTGGCGGGGACCCGGATGCCCCCCTGAGCACTCTGCCCCCCAGATCTGGCAGGGCATTGACATCGAGACCAAGATGCACGTGCGTTTCCTGAACATGGAGACCATCACCCTGTGCCACTGACCGCCGGGCAGCCCCGGGCTCCTACTGTAAATAGCCCCGCCCGCTGCTGTGGGGGCGGCACGGGGCCTCGCGGTTTTTATCTCCAATAAAACCACAGCGAGGGTTTGCTAATGCCGTGGTCCCGTCTCTTCCTCACGGCCACTGGGGGGCGGGGGGGGGACGGCAGCAACCCCCAGCCTCACACCTGGCTGGTCCCATCTCTTTCGGGCAGTTACTGTCCCCGAGGAACGCTGGGGGTGCCTGTGGCCCTGTGGGGGGCGGGAAGGTAAGGGGAGAACAGCCTCTTGGCTGCTGGGGACCCCCCAGCCTGCCCAGCTCCTGAGACCCGCCTCCTGCCTTCTGGCCAGCTTGGGGTCGGGCCGGGCATTGGCGTTGGTGACCAGGTGAGCCCCCCTTCCCCCCGCTGCTCCCAGGGGGCGAGTCCTGATGTCAGGGGTGACTATGGGGGGGGGAGGGGCGTGCTATGCTGTGCCTTGGGCCGACTCCAGCCTCCCCAGGATGCTCCTGAGCCCCCATCCCGGCCCTGGGCTCCTGGGGTCCGTCTCCCCTTCCTGGCCCTGCTCCCCACTCCCTCCTTGTGGAGTTTGCTCGAGGGAGTGGCCTCCAGCTGGGTACAGAGGTCCTGCCTGCCCGCAGTGTGCAGGGCGCAGGTCACGTCTCTTGGACTGGGTTGTGTCCCTGAGACGACAGACTCCCCTGTGTCGAGCCCCTGGACCCCAGGACAGGTGAGTGAGTGCAGCAGGGAGGGAGTGGGGAGAGGAGGAGCTGGATGTGGGGGGGGGGCAGTGGGAGCGGCCAGCTCTGGCCTGGGAAGTGTGGGGGCCCCAACAGCCGGGCAGTGGCACCCCTGGGGGACGGACCCGCAGCCCAGAGGCGTGTGTCTGGCCTCCCACACGCAGGGCGGCCCCCTTCTGGGAAACTTCCTCCTCCCTCCCTGAGATGCCCTTCGGGGGGTGACAGTCATCACCCTGGGGTGACGGGGCTGTGGTGTCCCCGGGGCACCCTCTGGTTACGGCAGTGGCAGGGCTGGCCACAGAGGGCAGGTTAATTCCTGGTCTCTGATGGGGACGGGGAGGGGGGGGGCGGCTCAGGCTGGGGTCTGGCGATGGATGGATGGATGGGCCATGCGGGGCTAGACGGCGCCCCCAGGAGCACGTCTGACCCAGGTCGTGAGGGACTGCCCTCCCCATGGGGGTCTGGGCCGGCCCCTCCAGCAGGAGTGGGGGGTGCAGGGGCGCTGGCTCCCGAGGGGGTGTGAGGCTGCCTGTGACCGCCTCCTGCCCCCACGCCCGGGAGAGTTCCGAGGACACAGGCCGCATGTGCCAAGAGGTGAGGGCGGCTGGTGTGGAGAGGCTGAGTGGCCTGAGGCTACGGGGGTGGATGGCAGGTGTGGGCGGCCAGTGGGGTCCCAGGTGGGTGAGTCCCTGCCTGTCCTGGCGAGGCTGGACTGTCCTCTCCGTGCCCTGCAGGTGGGTGTAGACGGGGATTAAAAGCACCAGGCTGGCCAGGGCCTGGCAGCCCCCTGCTTTGCGGGCTGTGTCCCACACGGCGACCTTGGGGGGCCTTTGTCTTCCCACTTCGGGGCCCATTGAGGCGGGGGGTGGGTGTGAACCTGGCCCCCGGTTGACTGGGGGGTGTTCTGGCCAGCAGGGCCCTGCCTACCCGTGTGCCCCCCACGCGCCCCTAGAAAGCTGGGGTGGCACCTCCCGAGGCTGAGGAGGGGCTATGCGGGGTCCCGCGGGCTCCGTGTGGCATCCAGGCAGTGGCAGCTGGGCTGGGGGTGTTTCCGGTCAGTGACCCCTTTGGGACTTCGACTGTGGTTCTTTCCTGCAGCCTCCCCCCCCCGCCGCATCCAGGGGCGAGGCCCTGGGGAAGATGGGGTGGGTGCGGCGATGTCAGAGTGCAGCCCACCAGGCTGGGACAAACCACCTGAGCCATTCCTGTAAAAAATTTACTATCTGAGCAAACGGTACAAAGCAAGAGTCACAGACAGTTTTAAGACGAGATCTCGGCACCCGCAGTGGCACATGGGGGACAGCGGACGGGGACAGGAGCCACTGCGGGGAGCCACTGAGGGGCAAGAGAGGGGCTGGTGGGAGGAGCGGGACGAGCCTTGAAGGGGTGAGGGGCCCCGTGAGGGAGCTGCTGTCCCTTCCACTTCGGGAGGATTCTTTGGCCTCGTACCTGTCAGCCAGGTGGTCATTCCCCTAGCGGGGCCTCCCCCTCAGCGGCTGTCTGTGCCTGCAGCCCTCGGCGTTCTGCACTCTGGTTCTTACAAACTCTTCTGCGCACCCCCCCCACTGCTGGGCGGCTGGGACCAGGAGGATGGGGGCTGCGTGGCCCTGACACCCTGTCCCTGTCCCGCGGCAGAGAGCGGGAGGGGCCCGGCTTCCAGCACCCGCACAGCCCGCAGGGGCCTGGCCGTAGCAGTGTCCCACGCTCCCCTGATGTGGTCACTGGGCACTTTCTCCTCCCCCGCTCGGGGGCCTGTTCCCCTGGCCAGGCTCCGGGCTCTGCTGGGCCTGTCGGGGTTCACTGTCAGCTGGGGGGGCCGTGACCCCACGCAGGGTCACAGCACTGCATGTGGGTGTGGCCATCGTGGCCTGGTCAGCGGGGAGCCGCAGGTGTCCGGTCCTCAGGCTGCTGGTGGCCGGCGCTCCCCTGTGCCCTCGCGCCCGTGGGTCTCGCCGCTGCCCTCCTGGGCCTCGCGCTGCTCACAGCCTCCTGGGCTCTGCCTCCATGCGCGTCCTTGGAAGTGTCCAGCAGGGGCAGAGTGGCCATAGGATGGGGGGCGGGGAGGGGGGTCTGCGGGGGCTGGGTACATGAGAGCAGGCCCCGCCTCTCAAACTGGCTACGGGGGGGCAGGTGAACCCCCCCCCCGGGGGCCCCACAGGGACCGAGACCAGCAGGCAAAGGCCCCGGGGCGGCTGGCAGTGCTCAGAGCTGGGAGGCAGCGGGCGGCTGGAGGGACAGGCGCTGGCCCGGCCCTAGGCGCTGTCGGAGGGGAAGGCGAGCGCCATGTCGTAGGTGTAGCCCGCCAGGGACTCCGAGGCCGAGCGGCACACGGGCAGGACGCTCTGGAAGGCCAGCTGGTCCACGGCGAAGGCGTAGGCGTGGATCAGGCCGCGGTGTCTGGGGCAGCGGAGACGGGCAGGTCAGCGGGCGTGGGGCCACTCACGCTGGGGCTCCCCACCTCCCTGGCCCTGGTGCACCCCACCATGGAGAGAGGGGCGCCCCCCGGCCCCCACTGACCTCCTGTGCGTGGCGAAGTTGTCCAGCTCGGGGCTGCGCACCACGCGCTCGTAGGGCACGTTGGCCGTGATGAGGCGGTGTCTGTTGAACGCCACGTGCCGCACGGGGTGCCTGCAACAGGCGCGCTCAGAGGGGCCGCACCGAGCACCCCCACCCGGGGCCAGGGCTTGCATGGAGACCCCCTTGGGGAAGGGGCCTCACCCAGAGGTCCCTGGCCTTGGGTCAGGGGCCCTGGACCCTCGGCCCTGTAGCTGCCCCACACAGAGCTGGGGGTGGCCCCCAGGACGGGGCAGGAGCGGGCAGCAGGGCAGAGTGGGGGCGGGTGCCCAGCTCAGCGGGTGAGGCCCAGGGAGGGGTGTGTTAGGGGCGAGGCGGTGGGGATGGCCTCGTGCTGGGTCTGAAAGGGCCGCTCCTGCCCTGGGAGTGTGTGTGTGGGAGGGGGGCATGTGTGTGTGGGGGGGTGAGGGCAGCGGCTCTGCCTGCCCTGAGGGTTCACTTAAAGGCGGGGATCTGAGACGCTGAAGGGTCCAAGTTTGTCTTGCCGTTTGGCGCCACCTGGTGGCAGCTCAGCGCAACTCCGACAGGGCGCTCTGCCGCCTGGCCAGCTGTTTAGGTACTGGGGGGCAGTGGGGAGCCCTGGGACCTGCTCTCCTGGTTGTCCTCCGTGTCCAGAGGAGCCACCGGTGCTCGGCGTGGTGCCCCCTCCTCCAGGAAGCGCCAGGCCCGCCGACTGACCTGGAATGCACCTCCCACAGCTTCTGGGCCATCCGGTAGTCCCACACGGTGACCAGGCCCTCCTCGCCGCCGCTCACGATCTTCCAGTCGTCCATCTGCACCGCCGAGACGCCCAGCTGGTGGGCCGCGAGCGACAGGGCGGCCTTGTCCGTGCGGAGGTCATGGACGCGCACCCTGTCGCAGGGGCAGAGCAGGGCTGTGGGCTGGGGCATGGGGGCCGGGGAACTGCACGGACTCCCGCCCCGCCCCCTCCTGGGACTGTCCCCTGGGATTCCCGGCGGGGACACTGGCTGGGGGCCCCAGGGCCCTCAGGACACGCAGAAGGCCTGGAGCTGCCCGTCAGCTGAGATCTGGCGGGCACGGAGCCCTGCGGGGTGCCGGGCTAGCGCAGGCGTTGCTGGGTGGAATAGGACTCAGGTAAGAGCAGGAGGCCAACCAGTCCGCTGCCTCTTGCTGAAGCCTGGAGAGAACGTGGCCACAGCCAGTGATGTCCAGTGGCCAGTATGGGGCAGGGAGGGGGGTTAACGTGCCCTGAGGCCCCCACAGCCAGGGCTCTCACTGAGTTACACGCTCGCGTCTTGGTCTGGAGCCGCTGGAGTGTCCCCGAGGCTCGGAGCAGATCCCTGTCCCCAGAAACGCCCACACAACAGGCCGCGAGAACACGTGGCGACACAGAGCACAGTCGGCTGAGACAGACGTTGCCCGAGGAGGAGCAGCCCCTTGCGCCCGGACACCCCACCAGAGAGCAGGGGCCGGGTGGACAGACATGCGCAGGAGCTGGAGGAGAAAACCTTCTCAGACACACACACACACGCGCACACACACACACACACACACACACACACACACACACCCTGTTCTCAGCGTCCTACCATGGGGAGCCGTGAATACACACATACACACAAACACACAGAGTTCTCAGCGTCCTGCCATGGGAAGCCGTGGACACACACACACCCAGTTCTCAGTGTCCTGCCATGGGGGGTCGTGGGCACACACACACACCCTTTTCTCAGCGTCCTGTCACAGGGGGCCACAGACGTCTCGCTCCAGGCCCTGAGGGACCCTGTGGCAGGAGGGTGGGCGGGACAGACCCCGTGAGCAGGGGCCTCCCGTGTCCCGCAGAGCACTCATCTGAAGTGAGGAGGAGGGGGGTTTCGGCAGCAGGAAATGTGTCAGGAGCTCAGGGCAGAAGCTTGAGGTGAGGGAACTGCCCCATTGGCTAAACCTTAGGGAACACAAACAGTGAAACGGACTTGTTTGCGACTGAAGTTTGCCAGAAGTCCTGGGGCTGGAGGGTCAGCGCTGTGGCCGAGGACACCTGCTCCCTGGCATGCAGACGGCCAAGTCCACCCCCGGGCCCCACATGGGCCCAGCATAATCGCGGCGGCAGCTCTGCCTTTTGACCTGACAACTCCCTTGCTCAATGCCATTCCAGGCACCGCAAACACCGAGTACTTCAGTTGTCTTTTGTTTTTTTGGTGGGGGGAGGGGAGCCACACCCAGCAGTGCTTGGGCTCACCCCAGGCGGGGCTCAGGGGACCCTCTCTGGTGCAGGGGAAGGAACGGGGGGTGCAGTGTGGAGGACACGCACCCTGTCCACTGCACTGTCGCCCCTGCCCTCGAGGGGGCACAACAGAACCCAGGGGTCAGACCCACAGGAGAACCCCTGCTTCCTGTCTGGCGTCTCATCAGCAAACCCCTCCCATGGACAGACTCAACTCGATGTTGAGAGAAAAAGAGGGAAGCGACAGAGATGGGTGTGAGCAGATGGTGGGGGGTCCACACTCAGGGCTCGTGGGGGGGATGGAAACACGCTGCCACACTGCCCAGCAGGGAGCAAGTGGGCAGGCTCACGCCGAGGAGTCCGGGCAGACGCGACCTACCCAGGACGTGAGCACCACAAACACAAATGCGTTTCCTCACGGCAAAGTGCCTCTGAAGGAATCTACCTAGGCTGTGTGTGTGTAGTGTGTGTGTGTGTGGGGGGGAGGGTACAAGTGCGCATGCGGTCTCACACGTGTGCACACACACATGCACAAGCATGTACACATGCACTCATGCATGTACCGTATGCACAGGCACTCACACACATGAGCACACGTGCACACGCAGCACACATGCTCAGACATGCACTCACGCGCACATGCACGCACACACGGCCACCCGCCTCGGCGTGGCTTCCGGCAGCAGCAGGTGGGACCTCCTGTCTCCAGTGTCTGGTCCCTGGCCCTCCCCCACCGTTTCCGGCTGCTGGGTGAAGCGGAGCCTTTTCACACGAAGCCAGGGCTGGCCTGGACCAGGCAGGAACGGCACCTGGAGAGCTGCGGGGGGGTCGGGGGGTCGGGGGGGGTGGGGGGGCAGAGGCCAGGAGGCAGGGATCATTCTGGATCCTGGTGCAAAACGGGCAAGGCGGGCCCTGCAGACTCGGGCAGGCCCAAACGGGAGGGGGATTCTGAGATCCCCAACTTACAAATGTGCCCGAAGCAATTTCTATAAACAAAACCGGGGCCCTGAAATTTAAAGTAATCAGAAAGGCAGGACGTGGATTAGAGAAAGAATGGTGATGGACCAGAGCGACAGCACAACGGGGAGGGCGTCTGCCTTGCACGCAGCCGACCTGGGTTCGATCCCCGACATCCTATATGCCCCCCTGCGCACCACCAGGAGTGATCCCTGACCGTCAGGAGTAAGCCCTGAGCACTACTGGGTGTGACACAAAAATAAACAAAATAGAGCACTTAAAATAAAAAAAAAAAGAACTGTGGATGATAAATCGGGAAATCACCTAGAATGAAGCACAAAGAGGGAAGCAACCGAAAACTGCGCACAGGGTGTGAGCAGGAGGCAGGGAGGGGAAGGACTCAGGGGTGCTTGGAAGCAGCCCTGGAGAGGAACCACGATGAGTGTGGTGAAGACACAATATTCAAGTGGCCACCAGCTGGGGACACCGGAGCCTATGTGGGCACCCAGGGGCGGCCGGGCCGCGGCGACGGTTGTAAAGCGCTCCTCTGTTGAATATTTATACTCCATCACGTACAGTTTGGCTGGTAAGGAGACAAAGGCAAACACAGATTTGGTCCAGAAGTTCAGAATTTGCCATCTGTTTTCCTATTGTGTTTAGATACCAGCACGGACGGCGCCAAACAAACAAGACGTACCCCATGCACGCCTCCCGGCCCCCTGGAACGGGACAGGGCCTCGTGGGGGGCGCCCGAGAGTGGGGGAGGCGAGGAGGGGCGTCCCAAGGGGGCAGGGGCAGCACCGGGGCTCAAGGTCTGCACGAGCGGCTCTGGGGAAGCGGGGGGGGGTGGGGAGGGGTCTGCCCGGAACATCTGACAGCGCCCGGCCTGGCCGCGACGCCCCTGGCTCTCCCGTGCCCCGCCAGTCCGGTCCAAGCCCCGCCGCCCGGAAACAGGTAGCGTAGCAAATGGGCCCCCCAAAGATGCCAAGAGCACGGCTTCCAGGGACACGGACAGACGCCAGCGGTAGATACGGCGAATCCCCAGCCCGCGAGTGTTCCGGCAACTTTGCCCACTGAAAAGAAAAATAATTGGTCTGCAAGCTGTAATTGTATTATGTTTAATATTCATGCTCGGGTCTGGGAGGGCTTGTTCCAGCCCTCCTGCTCCAGCCCGCGCTAATGAAAATCACACCATAGGAGTCAGCGCTCGCCCGCCAATTAAAACAAAAGACACGGGAGCCTTCCCGCGCCTCCAGCAGAGCCGCATCCATCTGATGGGCAGGAGGCGAGAGGAGGCCGCCGTGGCCAGGCCGGCGCTCAGGGCTCTGAATAACTTATGATAAACCTTTGCAGATGGAGCCACGGCGCTCACGCCTGCGCCCGCTCTCAGCAGGTGTGTGTGGGGAGGTGTGGGAGGGACAAGCCCGGCAGTGCTGTTCCTGTCCCAGCAAGAAGCAAGCTCAGAGACTCCCTCCCGGGGACGGCCTGGTGTGGGGGAGTGGGCGGCTCGGGTGGGCTCAGGGTGTGCAGCAAGCGGTGAGGGACGGCAGAGGAGAAGTGTGGCCAGCCAGCACCTGACCATCAGCCGCATTTTTTTACTGAATCACCGTGAGATAGTCACGAAGCTTTCGTGTTTAAGCTTCAGTCGTACAAGGATCGAACACCCACCCCTCCACCAGAGTACGTTCTCCACCACCAGTGTCCCCAGTATCCCTCACCCCCATCCCGGACCCTCCCCCTGGCTCCACGGCAGACAATTTCCCCCATTCTCTCTCTCTCTCTCTCTCTCTCTCTCTCTCTCTCTCTCTCTCTCTCTCTCTCTCTCTCTCTCTCTCTCTCTCTCCTTCTGGGCACTATGGTTTGCGATACAGATACCGAGAGGCCATCGCGTGCGATCCTTTCTACTTTCAGCACACGTCTCCCTTCCCGAATGATCCCCCCAACCATCACTGACTTGGCGGTTCCCTTCTCTATCCCAGCATCAGCTGCATTTTTACCCCGAGAACGAAGGGAACAAGCAAAGAGAGTGAGGCCAGTGATAGGTACTGCGAGAGGACATTAAAACATAGACTTAAAAAAGAAAGAAAGAAAGTTCCAGGGGCTGGAACGATAGCACAGTGGGGAGGGCGTTTGCCTTGCATGCGGCCGACCCGGGCTTGACTCCCAGCATCCCATATGGTCCCCTGAGCACGGCCAGGAGTCAGCCCTGGGAATCGCTCGGTGTGGCTCCCAACCCGAAACAAAGCCCCTGTCAGTCTGCAGCGCTGCTGTGTCAGTCTCGGGCTCTGCTTCGTCCCCTGCGCCTGGCTCTGGCACGGGCTGTTCGGCTCAGTGGCTGGATGTGCAGGCCCTGGGCGCTGTGTGGGTTTGGTCCGGGTGTTTGGGGCCACATCCTGGGATGCTCAGGGGTCCCCCTGGGTGCCAGGGGTCGAACCCGGGTTGGCCGCGTGCAAGATGTACACCCTCGCCACTGTGCTCTGGCCCTGCGTGCTGTGTTCTCGGCAGCAACAAGAAACCAGGTGCCTCACTTAGAGGTCGTCAGCTGTGGAGGCAGCTGAGAGCGGCTGCCGGGAGGAGCAGAAGGACCCTCGGGCTGAGCGCCAACCCCGCTGCACCTGTTTCCTGGGAGGGGCCACGTCAGGAGCTCCCGGAGAGAGCCTGTGACGGGGAGACGATGCCCCGCACCCCAAATGCAGAGGCACGGAGCCCTGGGGCTGTGAGCCGGCTTTCTCAGGCCCTTCTGCTTTGAATTGGGCTCACAGGGACATTCTGGGGCTGGAGCGATAGTACAGCGGGGAGGGCATTTGCCCGGCATCCCCTATGGCGTCTCCAAGCACCGCCAGGAGTGATTCCTGAGCACAGAGCCAAGAGGAACCCCTGAGCATCACCTGGTGTGGTCAAAAAAAAAAGCAAAAATAAATAATGATAAAAAATCACTTTTGATGATAATAATCATTTTTTGATAATGGTAATTTAATTTAATAATAACAATCATTTAATGATAATCATTTTTAATGATAAAAATTTTTTTTGTTTTTTTATAATCATTATTTATTGGCCCCCCCCAAAAAAAAACAGTGGGCCCAACCCAGATATTCATTCATCAATAAATGCATCAAGGAATCTTAAAATAAATGACAGGAGCTGGAGCGATAGCACAGCGGGTAGGGTGTTTGCCTTGCAAGCAGGTGACCCAGGTTCGATCCCTGGCATCCCATAGGGTCCCCCGAGCACTGCCAGGAGTAATTCCTGAGCGCAGAGCCAGGAGGAAGCCCTGAGCATCACCGGGTGTGACCCAAAAAGCAGAAAAAAAAAAAGACATACAGGGTCAGAGAGACAGCCCAGGGGTTAAGGCGTTTGCTTTGCACATGGACGACCTGGGTTCAGTCCCAGCCCCACGGGGTCCCTCAGCACCTCCCAGAGTGACCCCAGTCATGAAGCTGGGATAGCCCTGGAGCACCACTGAGCACAGGCACATGTGCGTGCACACACGCATACATGCACGTGCACACACACACACACACACAGACGCACAAAGAGGAAAGATGACATGGCGATATTTGCTACAAGCAGGTTTACTATGCAACCCAGCAAAATCTTGTGAGAATATTCCTGAGCAGGGGAAACCAGTCAGAAACAGCACGTTATATGATGCTTTACATGAACTGTTTCGAACGAAACAGCTCCCAGATAGAGGGCAGGGGTGGTGGAGGGGCTGTAGGTGTGTGTGTGTGTGGGGGGGTCATTTTCTGAAATTCCCCCGCACAGCCTGTGAGCTGAGGCCATTTGGGAAACAGAGGTCCCTCCTGGGAGGCCTTGGGGGTTGGGACCAGTCCTGGCTGTGGCTGACCTGCTGATTCAGAGTCTGGGGGGTGACCCTGGGGGTCCTCCGTGTCACCGTTCTAGGGGGCCGCTCAGGGTCTCATATGCTTTTCCCCTCGGGCCACATCTCTGGTCCCCACACGGTCCAGCTGAAACTGGCAAGTGCAGACCTGTGCATGTCATCTCGAGGGGACTGATAACATTGATAAAAATAAAACTGGAAATTGCAGGGGGACAAGGCAGTGGGTTTGCTGGTTCCGTGGCTGTTGCCTTGACAACGCCTGAGTGGACCACATGCCCTTCCGGTCCTTCCTCCCCAGTGGGACTCAGGGGAGCGTCCCCTGGAGGGACCCTGGCCTGGCCAGGACGGAGCAGCTGCCTCTGGTCCCCTGGGCCCCCCCACAGCCAGAGCATCTGGGCAGGGCCGGCCCCTCAGGGCAGGGCGAGTGCACCGTCCCCTCACCCCCAGCCTTGCCCTGAGCCAGGCTCCAGGGGCAGAGACCGGGGTGCTGCAGGAGCTAGAACCAGAAAAAGGGCCCCTCGGTCCCCAAAGTGGGGCTCCCCTCTCGTGGCCCGCGCCATCCCTGGATGCCACTCTCCGTGGTGGGGGCAATGCAGGGGGGTGGGCGTGCCCATCCAAGTCCCGGGAAGGGAGCCCCCGGCAGCTGCAGAGCTGGGGACAGGAACAAGGAAGCTGGAGGAGGGGCCTCCTCAGACCGCATCTGCACCCCCAAATCCCAGAGGGCCCCTGGGCAACACAGGACAGACCAGAGCCGCGGTGCCGAGAACACCACAGCGGAGATGGGCCCACAGGCCTGAGTCACCGTCCTGGGTGACCGCCTGCATGACAGAACCAAGCGGAACAACCCCCACTGGCCAGTGGGTAAGGGGACAAGTTGACCCCCAAAGTGTCGGAGCAACAGCCTGGAGGCATCTCAGATTCCCGCCCCTTCGCCAATAAGACCCCAGAACCAACTCACGCTCAAGGGGACAGCCCCGGCCAGACGGAACAGCGGGGAAGGTGCTTGCTCGCTGGCCGGCAGGGGACCCGGGTTCCATACGCGCCACCCCACCTGGGCGCTTGAGGCCCCACCAGTGGGTGCAGAGCCAGGAATGGGCCCTGAGCACAGCCAGGTGCAGCTCACTGAGCCCAAACTGAGCCCAAACCGAGCCCAAACCGAGCCTGACATCAGGACCCCGCAGAGGCTTGGAGGAGCTGTGGTAGAGATTGCACACATGGAAAGAGAAAACGGTCAGAAGGACAAAGAACTGAAGGAAAACTTCAACCCCCTCCACCCCCTCAAAATAAATAAATAAATAAATAAATAAACCCAAACAAGAAGAGTCAGTGACTGGGCCGAAACAGCCAGAGAACCATGACCTGAAGTCAGACAGGAAGCCTGGGCTGGGGCATCTGGTCCCTGTCACAGGGCACAGGAAAGGCCCGGGGCCCCCTAAGCGGCGAGACAGCGCACAGTAGCAGCGGGCACAGACGCCTCGAGCTGCCCACGGTGAGGCGGCGCCCCTGGAATACTGCTCTGGTTTCCCACGGGCCTCCCGCGGGGGGACACCTGAGTGTAGGTGCCACCAGATGGCTGGAGGCACGAGCACCTGAACCCTACCACTCAGGCGCTCACTCTGGCGGCAGGGCTGGGTGACGAGCTGGGAGCCTCTGCAGAGCGCAGGGCAGATCCACGCGTGGCCGAGTCCACATGTGGCACTGACCGGCTGCCTGGGCCTGCGCTGACCCCCCCATCCCAGCAGGTGGGCACCCCGCCCTCAGGGAAGCCTGGGGGGGGCCCAAGATTCTCGGACAGAAGCATTATTTTTGCAAGCTGCCGAGGCCGGGACTTGGCACGCGGCTGCCCGCCTCACGATCTGCCGCCCCCCAGGGCACCCGCCACCTGCAGCCCGGGGCGGGCCCAGGGGAGGGGTGCCGCGGGGCCTGGCCCTCGGCCACCCTGGGCTCTTCAGGGCACGGGATCCACAGCCAAAGCCCCAAACAAACAACAAGAAAGGCAAAGGCAAGTGGGTGGGGGGTGCGGGAGGGGGGGGAACCAACTCAGATTTGGACTCCGAGGGTCTTTTCAGACACTTTAATCCTTTCGCGCTGCCGCTTCCTGGAGCGGCCGGGCTGGCAGCGGCCCGTGTGCCGGGAAAAGCGACTCCCTCGGCCAGCCCGGCCAAGGCGAGATGCTAATCAGCCGCTCACTCGAGCCGAGCCGTGTCTGTGCGAGGGAGTGGCCGCGGCCGTCACCAGAGGGACGCCGCAGAGTCTCCAACACGCTCTTGACATCATCTGGCAGCTGCCCTGCTCTGCGGAACATGATTCATCCCTGAGGTTATTGTTTTCAATATTAGACAGTGAGCTCTGAAATGCCAAACAAATTTTGCAGCGGGGGGCGGGGGAGGGGTTGGACAGAAGAGATTCCAAGCGGCCTCCCTGGGCCTCCCACCAACTGCGTCCACCAACTGGCTGCAGAGACCACCTTCCCGGCCTGTCGCCGGGCGACTGCCTAATCCGAGAGCGGGTTCCAAGTTCCAGGGAGGAGGGGTCGGGCGAGCGAGGGGAGCAGAGCCCAGGAGGTGGGACGGGAGGGAGGAGCGGGAGGAGATGGGGAGCACCACGGAGGCCCAGGGGGGCCCTCCAGGGAGCTGCTGGTGGAGAGAGACAGACAGACAGAGGGGGAGAGAGGAGAGGAGGGAGGGAGGGGAAGAGAGAGAGAAGAAGGGAAGAGAGAGAGAAGAAGGGAGGAGAGAGGGGGAAAGAGAAAGAGAGCGGGGGGAGAGAGAGAGAGGGAGAGAGAGAGAGCACACGGCTGCTTTTCACCGCACGTACCTCCTGTCCATGTTGCCGCTGACCATGAGGCCGGGCGGGCTGTCCTTGAGGTTGACACAGGTGAAGTCCCCCAGCGCGTTGCCCAGCTTTGAGAGGCAGCGCTCGGCCTCCAGGCTGTACACCAAGATCTGGGAAGGAGGAGAAACGTGTGGGTAGGGGGCTGGAGCGATTGCACGCGGCCAACCCGGGTTCGACTCCCACCATCCCATAGGGTCCCCTGAGCACCGCCAGGAGTAACTCCTGAGTGCAGAGTGTGACCCAAAAAGAAACAACAAAAAGAAACGTGTGGGTGGCCTGTTCCAGGCTCTTGACCCAGGCTCGGTCCCGGCTTGGCCAGCCGTGGACAGGATCTGGGGCTACGTGTCCCCGCGTCCCCCCTCAGGACTATGGCTATTGGGATGACAAAAGGAGTGGCAGGAAAACCTGCCTGGTCCTCAGGCCTGGACGCAGGCCACTGCAGGGACACAAAGGGGGATGCTGGATGGGGACAGGAAGGCCTCTGGGCGCAGGGGGACAGTGAGGGGCACTGCCCCGCAGCAGGAAGCAGATAGGGGCTCCCCCATCCCTGGCTCCAGAGAGGAAGGGGACTAGGGGGGAGAGCGTTTGCTCGCTAACCTGACCGTCCCCGGTGACAAAGGCGAGTGGTGACAAAGCCCCCACAGTCTCTGCCCCAGGCCTTTCCCTTTGCGAATTTTAGGGCGTTTGGGGATGGGGGCAGGCAGGCAGGGACCCTCAGGGAAAGCATTCCTGGTCTCGGGGCACTGCCGGGTCTTCTCTCCAGCAAGAGGGAAAGAAAGATTCGTAAGGAATCTTGCTACAGACCGACTAAAGGTGCTAATCTCGGCCAGATCATCTCGTCACCCACCACCATCCACATTGTGTGTCCTTCTCTCTGGAAGAGAGCCTAACATGACGCTCGCCATAACCATGCCGCCAGACCCCGTGCCAGGGTGTTTCACTCAGGGGGTCCCAGAGTGAAAAGCTCACACCACATCTGATGAGTTCAAAATAGGAGACATCCAATCTTACAGGGATTTTTTTTTTTTACAAATATATAAAGCACACAGAGTTCAACCTCTAAGAACATGTTAGTGATCGCTCATAAAAGGGCTTACTGGCCCCTGGGTGAAATACAACGATCTTCATCCTCTTTCCTCTAAGGATACTTCTGTGTAGCATTTTCAGTGTTTTTTTCATAACAATACAAAATATATTATTTTGGTTCTGCTTTGGGACAGGGATTGGGGTTCGGGATGGAAACACCCAAAACATGGTGCTGGGAAAGTGTCATGGTGATGGGATTGGTGTTTGAATATTAAATGTAATGAAATATTGTGAACTACTTTATAAAATAAAATATATATAAATAAATAAGTAAAAATAAATAAATGTACTGATCTCGCTGAAGAATTACTGAAAAACTAAAACCAAAACCCTGATCGATTCCGTCCAACTTAATGAACACGAAGCTCGCTTTGTCGGTCACCCCTGCCCTTGCGGGGGGCTGGCTCGTCTGCAGGCTCGCGGCTCCAGAGCCCCCCTCCTGGTGGAGGGATGGGTACTTGATCATTGTATAACTGAAACCCAAGCACAAAATTTGTAAGTCTACAACTGTACCTCACGGTGTCTCACTAATTAAAAAAAAAAAAAAAGAGCCTCCCTCTTACCCCCACTGACTGAGCTGACTCTTCTGTGGCTCAGGGGGTCAAGGTAACCAGTGAGCGCCAAGGTCTTACTACAGAACTTCACCTCTTGGCCCCACCAAAAGGGACGGGACAGGACGTGCTTTCTTCCTCTCCTTGACCTGTGGATTTGCCGGTGATGGGCATCCAGGCGATTTCAGTATTCAGAAGGCGCCACATCGTTTCCACCTTGAAGTTCCTCACTGTCCACACACCTTTCTCCCGAGTAAATCGGGGAAATTCCTAAAGACAACTTCTCCTATTAATGAATCGCCACTATTAGCATCTGGCACAATTTTAACTTTTATCTCCATGCAGCTCAAAGTAAAAGTTTCTGACTGGAGGACATTGTAAACAATTCTAAAAATATCCAAAAGAAGACTATCCTTATGGGTAAGAACACAGGAGTAATCCACCTACAGGGACTAAACTGGAAACTGGAGAAAATCATCGTCTCCCAGAGGAGGGGAATCCCATGTTACACCAGATCATCTGTTCCCGGTAAACTACAGAAGTTACCAGAGGGTTCTTGGGCCCAGAATCATCTTTTAGGGGGAGAAAGTAAGTTCTGTTGTTTTTTCTTTTTGGCTTTTTAACCGCACCCTGCTGTGCTCAGGGCTTACTCCTGGCGGTGCTCAGAGGATCATATCGGATATCAAGGATTGAACCTGGGTTGGCTGTGTGCTATGCCAGTGCCCTACCTACTTACTATGTTATCTCTCGAGCTCCAATACTTAAAAAAATTTTTTTCCTATTAACTTACTGATTGGACTGGAGCAATAGCACAGAGGGTAGGGCATTTGCCTTGCACGCAGCCAACCGGGGCGACCCGGTTTGATTCCTCCGCCTCTCTCAGAGAGCCCGGCAAGCTACCGAGAGTATCTCGCCCGCACAACAGAGCTTGGCAAGCTGCCCGTGACGTGTTCGATATGTCAAACACAGTAACGACAAGTCTCACAATGGAGACGTTACTGGGTCTGCTCGAGCAGATCGATGAACAACGGGAGGACAGTGCTACAGTGCTACTTATTGATCATCTTGTGTGTAAAACATTGACAGCAGGCAGCAGGCCTTTAAGATGCAAACTGTCCAAGGCAAATGCAAGAATAACAATAAAAACAAAATCTCGTATAGAGGGTTGGGGCAGGGGGGCTAGACTAGCGGGTAGGGCACTTGCCTTGCACGTGGGTGACCTGGGTTCGATCCCCGGCACCCCATACGGTCCCCTGAGCCCACCAGGAGTGATCCTTGAGTGCAGAGCCAGGAGTTAGCTCTGAGCCCTGCCGGGTGTGGCCTCCAAACCAAACCAAAATCTCATCTCAGCGTCTACTTGTGTCTCCACTTTTTCTCGGTGCTCTGTTCTGACGAGTGAAGCACGGAATCTGAGTGAGGGGGCAGCCCATGCCGCCCTGCAGAGGTTCTGCACATCGTCACACGGATGGCTAAGCGGGGGGGGGGGCGGGGGTCGGAGGCGCGTTCGCCCGAGTGTTTAATAATTCATCGAGGGAGAACTCTGCGAAGAGCACCTTTACCATGGCGTTGAGTTAAAGACCGCAGAGACCAGAAAACACATCACCCATCCCGAAGGCTCTCTCCGTGCTCCGGGTCCCTGGACGACCTTTTGCCGGCGCCCCTCCCTCCCGGCACTCTCTCTCTTTTAATAAGGTGGAGCAAATGGGACTTCATTTCATCCAACTGCCACAGACTCCGAGATCAATTATTCATGCGCACACGCTCCCTCTGGTTAAGGCCGTGCATTAGCCTCGTCCTTCTCTTTATTGCCCGAGCTGGAGCTGGTGACCACTCGGCTCATTCTCCGAGGTGTGCGGGCACGCTGGGAAGAAGGGGAGACTCCCCACAGCCCGACCCCGGGAGAGGCTGGCCTGCGCTAAAGTGACCGCCAGATCAATAGCTGGGCCAGGGAGCTTTGCTTTAAGTACCAGGAGTCTATTAGGGCAGGGCTTGGATTGTGATTACCGAGCACATTTTGACAGGACTCAGCTGCGCCCGCGAACCCCCCCTAAAAGAGCCAACCCACGCGCAGTCAAGTGGAGACCACCGCGGGCCGCGCTGGGCATGAGGTGAGCGCCCTTCTCTCTGGCTCCCGGGCACACAGCCTTGGCGACGGGCGTGGCAGCTTCCGGAGATGCCCTGCAAGGCCTTTCTTTCTGGTTAGTTCTCCTTCTTGGAGAGCAAGTCACTTCATAAAGCCTCGTATTCTGCTTCTATTTTCAATTATCCAGATTTCTCTGACATTGGTTTCTTTCGTTTGCTTTTCCTTTTTTAAATTATTTCTTTTTGGGTCACAGCCGGTGATGCACAGGGGTTACTCCTGGCTCTGCACTCAGGAATTACTCCTGGCGGTGCTCAGGGGACCATATGGGATGCTGGGGATTGAACCTGGGTTGGCTATGTGAAAGGCAAAGGCCCTCCCTGCTGTACTGCTGCTCCAGACCCGGATGACTTTAAAAAAACAAAACAAAACACCCTTTCTGATTGCACCCTTAATACACCTGGCTGCAAATTCTCCCATGAAGACAGTCACCAACAGAGAGAGGGAACAGCTTTCTACATGACTGTCTCTGAAATAATTCCTTTCCTTGGTCAACATGATGGCTTTACTTGGTGTGCGTACTAGCTGACCTTTTTCCTACACAAAGTTTATCTTCTGGGCCAGCACGCTGGCTGACAGGCTGGGGCATGGGCTCTGCATGCCAGAACCCTGGGCTCCATGCCCAGCTCCACAAGGTGTCCAGAGGGCTGATGACAGGGACCCCAAGTGCCGAGGCCGGAGTAGCCCCTGAGTACTGTCAGGTGCGGACCCCGAACAAAACAAAACAAAAAAGTCTATCGTTTTGGTCTCTTTCTGAATTGTTTCTCTTTTTGAGTCACACCCAGAGATGCTCAGGGGTTATTCCTGGCTCTGCACTCAGGAGGTCTTCGGCACACATGAAGGTACCGGCAGAGGAACAAAGGCAAGCGGGTCCCGGGGCTGAGATCTCCAAGCCTGCTCGGATCGGGGCTGAGCATCCTCCACCCAGATCCTCCAAATTCCAGTAGGCGGGGATCACACCCACCAACTGGCCCCTGGTGCCGTGTAATCCCATCAACGGCCAAGACTCAGAGACTATAAAACCCAGCTCCCGGACATCTTAATATCTCATTCCTACTTTGGACAAACTGGCAGGCTACCGAATATAGCCTGCCCACACGGCAGAGTCTGGCAAACTCCCCGTGGCATACCCAATATGCCAAATACCAGTAACAATGATGGGTCTCATTCTCCTAACCCTGAAAGAGCCTTGAATATGGCACTTTTTAAAAAAATCTCAGGGCTAGGATGAAGGAGACGTTACTGGGGCCTGCTCAAGGCAATCGACGAATAACAGGATGGTCGTGATCGTGGTCGTGATCGCACTCAGGAATCACTCCTGGCAGTGCTCGGG